AGTCCTGAGCCCTCCAGGGGTCATCTCATTCCCTCCCTGGGTGGAGTTCTACACAGACACTGCTGGGTACCTGATCTCTGCTGGGGTTTCCTCCTGTGGCCAAGTCGAGGCAGGTGCCTGAGACATCCCGGCCCGGCTCTGGGGCACTGTCTTTTCAGAGCTGCACGCAGGAGGTGGTGGAAGAGCTGGCGGATGGCTTCGGGTACTCCATCTCCCTGGACAGGGACCAGCTGCACCGCACCATCATCAATAACCAGGGCTGCTCTGAGGTGAGAGTGGGCACGGAGGGGTCTTCCCACCCAGGCCCCTGAGATGACCAGGGCAGGCCCAGAATCCAACCTCAAACTGCTGTTCTCCTGGGACCCTAACAGGGCTGTTCCCCCTGAGTGTCCCACAGTCCCATTCCCAAAGGAATCTGGACTTCCGCTCCTCCCCACCAGCTGCATAGGAGGATAGGAGGGCACTCTTTGCATTTTCCTAGGAAGATTAGAGAAAAAGATGGCATTGCCACTTCCAACTAGGCCCTGAGTATGTTTGAATTTTGCCTTTTTTGGAACATGGAACCTCGATAAGGAGGGTCTCCAAACTCCCTTTAATGTAAGAGAAATAACCAGCAGCGTGTTTTGGAAGTCAAAGGGATTCTCAGAGTGTGTCACTGCCTTGTACACTGTTTCCAGACCGGGGCAGGGTGGGGTGGCCACATAACATTTGCCTCCAGGTCGGGGCCCAATGAAGCCTCAGGCAGTTAGAGGGGCTGGCCCTCAGCCCTCACTTTGGGCGGTTCTCAGTACTGACCCACAGGACCTAGAGAAGCCACTTGGCATGCCTAAGCCTCTGTTCTCCTCTCTAGAGAGGGGTGTCTGTTGAGGATTCACTGGGCTGGTGCTCTGCACAGAGGGAGCTCTGTTGTCCCTCAGCGAGCAAATGGCCTCGAGGGAGATCAATGTGGAGTCCTTTTGCAGGACCAAAGTCAGATTGTACTTTGAGAGCCCAGAACCTTGCTGAGTGTGGGAGCTCCTGTCTCTCCTGTCGCACATGTCTGGGAGGGGCTAGGAGTTCCTGGGTCAGCTGCAGACCTTGATAATCCTGGTGGTTTGCAGTGGTGACCCTGACCCTGTGTCCTCCTCGTCCCACCCAGAGTGAAGATGAGTCCACTCTGTCTGTCACTGAGGCCTGCAGGATGCGTGCCCTCCAGGCAGGCATGATGCAGAGGCTCTCAGAGTCTGTGCTGCCAGCCTTCCCCAGCAGAGTCCTCTGCAGTGTCACCACCTCCCTCTGCAGCTACTCAGGCTCCAGCACAGCCCACCAGGTGCTGGACCAGCTGTTTCCCAGGTGACTGCCCACCTCCTCCTCAGCACAGTGGTGACTCTGCCCACTGCCAGCTGTGTGTCTTGCCTTGGGAATGTCACCGCATCTCTCTGAGCCTGAGTTGGCTCCTCTGAAACGTGGGGTGGGAGAGGCTGAACTTGCTAGGCTTCTCCCAGGGATGAACGGGATCAGCCATCCAGGTGCTGCCCTGGTGCCCGGCTCTGCAGAGAGGGTGGTGGGCCATGCTGTGGTTGCTGGTGGTGATTATTTCTCTGTCCCCCACAGAAAGTAGTCTTCCTCTCCCTTCACTGGCTTGTGGCTTTTTGAGTTTGGAAAAGCACCTGGAGAGCACCCTGTCAAGGAGTTTGAGATGCCATCCAGCTGGTCCTGGTGCTCGTCCTTGGTGTAGCCACTTAGGGATCTCTAGAGCCACAGAGGGGCCACAGGCCCACTCAGACACCTGGGGTGGTTCTGCTTGGAGGTCATTCAACAATGTCTATGAAGGACCTACTCTGAGCAGGACTTCTGGACACACTAAGTGTCACTCAGTGAATGAAGCAGACAGCCTCCCTGGGCCTCCCCTCTATTCTGAGAGTCAGACAGTCCCACTTGACATCATTCACAGGTCCCATCTACCCTCCATCCCGGGCGATGCCCTCATCCCCTTTGGGACACATGGAGGCAGCTTGGCCCATTGCGTGCGGGATGCTGGAGGACAGCACCACCTCCCAAAGTGAGTGGTCTTTGGGTTGAGACGGAGGGCCTCCTGTCTCTAGCAAACAGGGTGCGGGGAGAGGATGGAGGCTGTGGCCGCGTCAGGCCTGGGAGAACCCTGCATCTCACCCATCTTGTGATTCCCATGGGAGGGCTGAGTTCTGGTGGCTTCCACTCCGGCAGGACTGGACTCAAAGAGAGCTGTGCATGGGTCCCAGGCCCCTTGAGAATTGGAAGGGAGGCTGGGCTGCATTGTCCCCTAGAGACCCACTCCCAGCAGAGTCCCAGCTCCTCCTGCCTCCCTTTCTCCACATCCACACCTTGTGAGCACCACCGCCAGGTCCATAGTAGGAGGTGTGTGAGCAAGCTGCTCCCAAATCTGCTGGAGTCTTCATTCCAGTGGCCCACATTCATGCAGGGCTTGGGTGGGCTGTGTCCAGACCCTTGGGGAGGAGAGTATCGGTGGGAACAAGAGACTCTCACAGACTCTCTGTTTGGCCTGCTGGATGAGCAGGCCTGCCACAGCCAGGACAGCCAGCCAGGGCTCAGGGCTGGGATGGGGCCCTCCTCTGGAGGGGGAGGGTCTGGCACAGGGGCGCAGATGCTAACAAGAGTGCCTTGGGAGGCCGGTGTTTAAGGAGAGGCCGGGCCACTGACTCTCTGGCCCATCTGCCTCCCCGCAGTGCTATCTATTTCCTGCTGGGAACCTGGCTGGGCCAAGGGCAGGATTGCAGGGAGCCCCAGCGGTTTCCCTCTTGGACCCTGCAGCTGGCCACTCTGCACGTCAGCTTTGGTGGCTCCCATGTGGAGGGCCATGCCTACCTTCTGCCAGGCCACCTGGAGCATCTCAAGGCCATTGAGGCTGAACGGAAAGGTGAGGGAACTGGAGTCTGGAAAGACTGTCTGTGTTGAGGTTCATGGGCTAGCGTTCCCTTAGAGGCAGTGGAGCCCTTCCTATCTTTGGAAAGGCACAGAAACCATCAGGTGTGTGGGTGAAACTTTCTCTTTATCCTGCTCCAGAGCCAGCTCCAAAGCTCCTGCCACTTCCAGAGCCAGAGCCAGTGCCAGCCCCCGGGCTGGAGCCAGCTGCACCTGCAGTCTCACCACGTGTGGTAGAGCTGGAGCCAGCAGCCCCTGAGTCGGCCACTCCAGGACCAGAGCAAGGGCCACCATCAGAGGCAGCCCCAGAGCCCAGCTGCCCCTGGGCGGTGACCACCGAGGACCAGCTGCGGGAGGAGAAGCTGAACATCTTGGACTTCCCTCCCCAGCTGGTGGCAGAGCAGCTGACGAGGATGGCTGCGGTGAGCAGAGGAGCTCATGGGGCAGGTGGCCCCTGCCTTCCCGGTGCCATGAGCCACCCTACACCTGCCATTCCCTGCTCAGGATTCCGATGATCTGGGTCCAAATCCCTGCTCCCTCCCTTATCAACACTGTGACCTGGGCAGCTTTCTTTCTCCCCAAGCCTTTGCTGTCCCCTAGAGAACAGGGGACAGTAGAGACGGACACTCAGAGCACCTGCTGTACAGGGTGGCTGTGCCGATGAATGAGGTGGGAGAGAGTGGAAGGTGGGCAGAGTCTGGCCCTTTGGTGGGGGATGGGCACTCACTGAAGTGCTGCCAGGTCCTTGGGTGGATCCCCCATCTGCGCAGGTGGCCCGGACAGCCTCAGCACTTGGCAGGAAGGTGATGTGTATTGACTCCAGTGGAGACAGTCAAACAAAGCTGGGGGTTGTCCCTGCCTCGGGGGGAATGTGCATGGGAATGGGGAGTGGGACCCGAGGGGCACTGGGATGGGTGGATGGTGACCCTTCTGGTGGGCATGTGTGGGCTACCTTCTGGAGCTTGGAGGAAGTGAGACAGGGCTGGGAGCAAATGTCCCCTCCCTTCCCCACAGTACTGTGTCCAGGTTCATCCTGGACTGGGTGCATTCAGTGGACACAGACAAAACTCAGGGACTCCCACAAGCCTCAGGCCACTTGCTCTGCTTCCTGAGCTCCAGTTCTGATCTCACCCTGCCTGGGCCTATGGGGGACTGTGGACTCTGAGCTGGGGTGCGGCAGGACCGGGTGACACTCCGCATCTTCCGCAGGAGCTGTTCAAGACGTTGGTGCCCGCCCACTGCCTCGGCTCCATCTGCTCTGAGTGCGACAACATGGAACGCGAGTCCCTGGCACCCACCGTCCGTGACACTGTGATGCACGACAACACCGTGGCCAATTGCATCCTCGTCACCTGCCTTGGGGACGCGAGCATGACAGCGCAGGACAGGGCCAGGGTGGTTGAGCTGTGGATCAGGGTGGCTGAGGTAAGCCTTGGCACGCCCTGTCTGGATGCGTGGGAATTGCCTCTTGTTTCTCAGCTCTCAGGATTGAAGTCTGGGGTCTTAGTCCCTGGACTGTCCCTTGACCCTCATGCCAGGGCCACGTTGACCTTGACTTGAGATCCCAGTGGGGACAAGCTCACTTCCTTCCTTGTGTTGAGCTACAAATCCTTGTGCCTGGCAGTGTTACTCGTCGGGTGGCAGGTGTGCCCTCCCTGGCTTCCCTGGGCATGTGTCTCCTCCAGGACAGGGGAAGTCCGTGAGGGGACAGAAACCAGAGGCAGCAGAGCTTCAGCTCCCCCTCACGGCTCCATCTCTTCGCTTCCCCAGGAGTGTCGAGGCCTCGGGAACTTCTGTTCCCTCCACACAATCCTTTCTGCCCTGCAGAGCCCTGCCATTGCCCGTCTCCAAGACACCTGGGGACAAGTTTCCAGGTGGGTAGTGGGTGGTCTGCTCTCCAGCCAAGCACCATGAGGGTGAGGTGGCCCAGGCAGCCTGATTTGGGCCGGCATGTCCCCCAAAGTCAGCTGAGACCACCTGGGAGACAGCGAACACCGGGCACAGGGACTGACCTGGGTGCTGGGTCTCTGAGTCTCTCAGCGCCCTTAGGCCAGGAGTTCCGTCCCAGGGATTCATTTCCTTCCAGACCAGATCCTGGCTTGAGCCCAGGTGGAGATTCTCAGGGGTTTCCTTTGCAGCAACAGAAGCCTCTATGCAGCTGAAACCAACACTGTTCCAAAGAGATCTGTTTGGGACATCTGGGAATGGAGGCCCCAAGGGACAAGAGGAGAGGCCCCTCCGCAGTCCCATGGGGACCTTAGAGCTCAGAACACCCCAGCGTAATCCCTCATCCAGGCCCCAGGCAGTTTGGATCTGCTGGGTTCTCAAATAAATGGGATTTGCCTTCAAGCATCCCACAGTTTTTCTTGGTTGCTTGCTTGCTGTCTTTCCCCACCCCGCAGGGAGAGTTCTCGAACCTGGAAGAAGTGGGTCAGGAGAGAGAAACGCGTGAGCAGGGAGCTGCTAGTGCAGGTAACCTGGAGGCTGGAGATATGGAAGGAGGCCAGAAGGAGAGGGGAGGGGAACATCCCGAGGGGATCCTAGGAGGTGAGGCTATGGCAAGGCTCGGCCCAGGCTGGGGGTCAGAGAGCCCCGTGAGGGTGGGGCAGGCCGGGGCCACTCGGCCAGGTCCCCCAAGACACCCTGCCCTCCCCCTCCCTGTCTGTTCAGCTGGGGTCTGGACGCACCCCTGGAGTCCAGAGGTCGGGGCCTTGGTCAGATTTGGAGCCAGGGCTGGGGTGAAGGCAGAGGGGACAGGGCCTGTAGCTGGCATGGGGAGCAGCCTCTCCCAGTGGGTCCTTGAGCCAGTCGCTGCCCCTCTGGGGGCCTCCGTCTCCTCCTCTGGGAAGTGGAGGGAAACGATCAGCGGCGCAGGCCTCCCAGCGGGGTGCTACCATCCAAGGGAGGACAGGAACGGGAGATTTGTGCCGGCTCCTCCTTGAGAGGTGAGGGGAGAGCAGTGATGACACGCAGATGACTCTGAGTCCTCAGGAGACTCCTGGAAGCAGGTGACGTTCTCCTCACACTTTTCAGCTGAGGAAAGAGGGCCAGGGAGGCCTGGGCAGGCCCAAGGTCACACAGGACTGAGTCTTGGAGCTGGGCCTGGTCTAGAATCAGAGCACCCTGCAGTTTGGAGCAGCAGAGGCAGCAGGGGACCGGAGCCGATGGCCAGGGTCTGAGATCAGGGGCCTTGGGGGACATGCGGAGGGGAGTATGGGCGCACTGACCCTGTCCTCGGCCCCGACAGGAGGCGACCTCCATGTTAAAGACTGCAGAGAGGGCCCGCCAGGGAGCCCAGGAGAGGCAGTGGCAGCAGGTGAGGGTGACTGTGGGGGAGGGGCCTAGGAGTCAGAGGAGAGGGGGCGCCTCCTCCCAGCTGGAGACCTCCCTCAGGAGAGGGGCCTTCCTCCTCAGGCGAATCTGCTGTGGCTGCCAAGCATGACGGGCCTGCAGTGGCAGTGAGCAGGAGGAGGCCTGGAAGGGCTGGCAGCAGGGCAGATTTGGGCTGGGGAAGGGCAGGGGCCACTGCCCCTGGGAGGGGCCAACAGCCAGCCCTGGGACTTGACTGATGGAGTTTGGTGTTCCTGGAGGGGAGCGGGGGAGGGAATTGTGTGTGTTGGGGTGTCCCGAGGATCCTAGGCTGCTCTGTGTGGGAGCGTGGGGTGGGCAGGAGGCTGGGCTGAGGGGTTTCAGGGGAAGGTTCATGGGGGCACCTGAGAGCGGGAGCTCATCGCCATGCCCATCCCGATGGCGGCACAGGGTGTCATCCCCTCCCTGGTGAAGTTCTTCCGTTCCCTGGAGCTGCTGGACGCTACGATGGAGGATTATGTGGAGGTGAGTGAGCCTGGAGGTGGGTCCGGGGGCTCAGGCTCCTGAGGGTGGGGAGGAGAGAGTTCTGTCCTGAGCCCTGAGCTCTCTGCATTTGGCAAAGGTCCTCTCAGCAGGGCCTCCAGCCTCATGTGGGAGTTGGGGTGTCAGGCCCATCTCCCCAGTGGGTGATGCAGGCTCTGCATAAGCCACCGTCCAGGTTCCCTGGGCTGCTGAGGCTCAGAGCTGCCTGACTGTGTGGCCTCAGGAGGTGGTGTCTGAGCTGGACTCAGCCTCTCCTTCTGGCCCTGCCAGTGAGGGAAGAGAAGTCGGGCCCCTCCCAGTCAGGAAGCACATCAGTGGCTGAGCTGTCCCTTCCTGCCTGAGGCCTGAGTCTCCCCACGTGTCATCAGAGAGGGTTGGGTTACAAGGTCTCTTGCCTCAGTTGCTCTGTGCCCCCTGCTCTGGAGCCCAGAGACTGGCCCAGGTCCAAGTCCAGGCTCTGGATGGGCCTGCCCACTGGCAGTAGTGCAACATTGCAAGAGGTGTGGAACAGGGGCTAGTGCTGGCCCAAGGGGGCTGTTTCTGATGGACTGCGGCTGTCTGCCTTCCAGGGCAATGTGCTCAACTGTCGGAAATGGAATGAGGTAAGCGGCTGCGGCCTCCCGGTGGGGAAGGTGGGGGTTGGAAATCAGAGACCCCCCCGAAGTGGGCAGGACCCCCTCTGGCCCAATCCCCAGGGTGGAACATTTATTTGCACAGTTTGATATACAGAGCTAGGGATCCTATGGCATTGGCGGGTGGGGGAAGGGCTGGCATCAAAGACTCCTTCCTGGAGGAGGAGCTATTTGGGGCCAAGTGTGAGAGCAGGCAAGTCCTGACTGGAATCGCAGGGAGGGAGGGTTCCCAAGTGGGCAAAGGCCCCAGACTGGTCCCTTGCCCCCTTCCTCAGCCCCTCCATGAGCCCTGCAGGGTCCCCCACTCAGGCCCTGTGGGCATCCTGTGCTTGCTCTCTCCTAGCAATTCAAACTGATGGAGGAGATCGAGCTGCTCCAGGAGGCTGCAAATCTGTACACCGTGCAGCCCGAGGAGCACTTTGGGGCCTGGTTCCAGGCCATGGAGCCCCTGAGCAAGGAGGAGTGGTGAGTTGGGTCAGGAGTTGGGGGAGGGCAGGGCAGACTGTCTCTGCTGACCAGCTCCAGAGCCCATGGCCGTTGCTCCATGGTCAGCCCCTGATCTGATTGCATGGCGACCCCTGGGGCCCTTCGACTCCAGCTGCTGGCAGGCTGCAGGACGCACATGTGATGTGTGGCTCCTGAGAGCTCCCAGCTCCGCTCTGTCCTGTAGCTACAGCCTGTCCTGCCAGCTGGAGCCCCGATACCACTGGGTCAGAAAGATTCGACTCTTCTTCAAACACAAGAAGAACCGCTCAGGGCAGAGTGAGTGTCTAGACCGGCAGTGGCTGAATCCACGGGCTCAGGAAACATTCAGGCCGAGCGTGGGCCTGGGGAGTCAGACAGCTGGCCCTGGGCTCCAGCTCCACTGCTGAGCAGTCCCATCCTGGGCGATGGCACTCACGTTTCTGGAACTGGTTTCCTCCTCTGTGAAGTGGGTGACGCTAAATATCAGCCCCTGTGTCAGGGACAGATGGGGTGCTGTTGGCTGACTGAGCACTGAGCACAGGGCTGGAGCACAGAGCGCAGTGGGGGCCGGGATGGGGTGTGCACTGTGGTTCCAGGGCAGGCCGCTCAGGAAATGCCTCTCTTTCTCCAGACACCAGACCCCCAACCAAGGGCCCAGTGGTGGTGGTCGATGACCCTCCTGAGACCAGCTGAGCTACAGCGGGGACACAGCGTTGACACTCAGGGTGCACAGGGCCACCTCCCCTGATTCTGATGAGGAGAACTTTGTGATCTGTTTCTTGGGGTCCCCTGTTGGCCACGAGGGAAGGCACCAACCCCTCTTCTCCCTCCCCCCTTTTGCCCAGCACCGATTTCCCTATTTGGCGGGGCCATATTTTGTTGTCAATGGTAAATGCTCCGTTTGAGTATTATATTAAATTGTTGCTTCTTTCTAATCCTGGGAGTGGAGGTGTGAGTCTTTCGCTCGCAGCACTCATGGAAACCAGATCCAGAAGCTCACATTCCTCCTCGAATTTAGAAATCTCCCAGAGTGAGCAGCTCAGTTTATGTGGAGAAGGGAGAAGGACCAGTCCCCTCCCTGGCTACTGAAGGACATGCCCAAGTGCCCCTCCCACCGAGGACAGGATCATTGCAGTGTGGTTCAGCCTGTCCAGGAGCAGAGATGGCCCCTCTGACCTCTTGGGACTAAGCGGTTGGACGCGTTTTCTCAGCCAGAGCCACAACCACTAAGCTGGGCCTGTCTGTCAAACTAGCACGTGCCTGTCCCTAGCACACGTCCTGCCCAGGACAGTGGCTGCCTTTCTACACTCTGCCGGAAGAGGGAACATTTTCCCGGGTTCTCTTGCACACAGATTAGGACCTTGTTTTCTGATTCAGTCTCCGCAATGGCTTCAGCTCTAAGTGGGGAAAATACCGTCAAAAGCTCAAAATGTGCACATAGAGAGGACGAGGCCAGAGGAAGGTCCTGTGGACATGGACCATGGGCAGGCAGGACTCTTCCTTCTTGGGCCCACTAGGGGCTCCCTGTTCACCTCTGACCTAGACTGGATCCCCCTGGGCTTCTGGTCCCTGACTCCGAATACCATTTCCTGCTTGTTGTCTATCCAAGGGGAAAGCTGTGGGATGCAGCTTTTAGGGCCTCAGCCAGGTCTCCCTCCAGAAACCTAGTGCTCCCAACAATCTGTTCCAGAAAATATCACCAGAGACAACACTTTCCAACTCATCTTTGAGGCCAGCAGTACCCTAAAAGCAAAACTAGAGTTTAAAAGTAGGGAAAACTTGAGAACAACAAGTCTCAGAAATGAGCAGTTACCGTTTTCTACGAAATATTAGAAAACTGAAGCCAACAATGTAAAACAATCATACACCAGGACAAAGAGAAAATTTATTCACGTATGCAAGGTTGTATCAGCATTCCAAAATCAAATCAATGTGATCCACCCTATCACAGGCTAAAGGAGAAATTTATACATACATGTCAGTTGGTATGTGGGGGAAGTCATCAGATAGTGCATATTAGATATGTCAGGTTCTTTCTCTATCAATTGCACCTCATTAAAGCTCTTACAAAAATGAACCTAGATATAGAATTTACACTTTCACAAACTTTTAGAAAATGGAACAGAGACCTAAATGTAATGGAAAACAATACAACTTCTGAAAAGATTATGCAACAAACTCTAAGTGGACTCGAATCTGGAATTATGCTATTAAGACACAAACTGAAAATGTAATCTATGAAAAACAAATTGATGTTAGACTTTATTTATTATTTTGGTAAGGAAAGTTGACCCTGAGCTAACATCTGTGCCGATTTTCCTCTATTTGGACTGTGGGATGCTGTCACGGCATGGCTTGACAAGCTGTGTGTAGGTCTACACCCAGGATCCGAAACTGTGAACCCCAGGCTGCCGAAGTGGAGTGCGTGAACTTCACCACTGTGCCAGCGGGCTGGCCCCAAGTTAGACTTTATTAAATTAAAAACTCCTGCTTTGTGGAAGGCAAAATCGATGAGTCAAAAGACAAATTACAGACTGGCAGACGATATTCGCAAAACAGATATATGATAAAGAAAATATGTCCAAGATATATGCAAAGAACTCTTAAAAGTCAACCACAACAAAAAAATAAACAACCTTATTGAAAAATGGGCAAAAGACCTGAATATATCCCTCACCAAAGAAGACATACAGATGGCAAACGAGCCTGAGGACAGATGACCACCGCCACAGGTCATTCGGGAATTTCATATAAAACCTCAATGAGATACTTCTACACACCTATTAGAACTGATAAATGCAGGAAACTGGAGCCTGGTTCCGGTGTATCTGACAGTTGGTTCCATGGTGTCTGGCAGGTAGTTCCTGTGTGTCTGGCATATGGTTCTGGTACATTCGAAAGGTGGTTCCGGCATGTCCAGCAGGTTGCAACAGTGTGTCTGGGACCTGATTCCATCCTGTCCGGTTGATGCTTTCAGAGTGTCCTGGCTTTGTTTCCTGCCTGTCTTGCAATTAGTTCCCGCATGTCCGGTGGGTGATTCTGGCGTGTCTGGCAGATTTTCCAGCCTTTTCCAGAAATTGGTACTGGCGTATCCAGGACCTGGTTCCGGTGTATCCGGCAGGTGATTTTGGTGTGTCCGGCAGGTTGTTCTGGCGTGTTAGGATGGTGGTTCCAGCTTGTGTGGCAGGTGTTTGTGGTGTGTCCGGCACCTGGTTCTGGCATATTTGGGAGGTTGTTTCAGTGTATCTGGTACTTGGTTCCGGGATATCCAACAGTTGGTTCCGAAGTGTCAGGCAGGTGGTTCCTGTGTGTCTGGCATGTGGTTCTGGTAGGTTCGGAAGATGGTTCCGGCCTGTCCATTAGGTGCTTCCAGCATGTCTGGAAGTTGGTTCTGGCGTGTCAGACTCATGTTTCCAGTGTGTCCAGTGGGTGGTTCCAGGTGGATCTGGTGTGTCCGGTGGGTGCTTCCGGTGAGTCTGGTGGGTCGTTATGGGATGTCTGTGTGGTGGTTCCAGAGTGTTCGGCAGGTGCTTTCGGCATGCCTGTCAGGTTTTTCCAGCATCTAAGGTACCTGGTTCAAGCATATCCATCAGGTGAGTTCTTTCTCAGCTTCCTAAAGAGCTGGAAGCAAGACAGTTTGTGGCTTGTCTCCCCTTGAGGGATGGAGGCAGTGCTTTGTGCCATCCACTTCTCGAGCAATATAGGGCATGGTTGAGAGCAAATGGGTCTTTCTGACATAGGGGCTTTCTGACACTCTCTCCACGAGTGCACAAGGGTGGTTGGTTAAAAGCCTCTTGTCTCTATCCTCCTAAGCTTGTGGAATCGCAATCATACGGGCCTTGGCCCCATTGCTTAAGGGGAAGATGTAGCCATTACCCCTGAGCCAGGTTGGCAAGAGGGAAATGTGGCAGAAGCAGAAGTTCTAAAGCAGCAAGTTAAGGGCTGGGAGGAAATGGCGTTCAGCTGCCTGTGTATGAGAGGTTCCCAGTATGCTGTAAGAGCACTGTGGAAAGCGACTTCTTTCTCAGCTTCCTAAAGAGCTGGAAGCAAGACAGTTTGTGTCTTGTCTCCCCTTGAGGGATGGAGGCGGTGCTTTGTGCCTTCCACCTCTAGAGCAATGTAGGGCACGGCTGAGAGCAAAGGGGCTTTTCTTCCATAGGTGCTTTCTGACACTCTCTCCTCCAGTGCACAAGGGTGGTTGGTTAAAAGCCTATTGTCTCTCTCCTCCTAAGCATCTGGACACACAATCATTTGGACCTCAACCTCCTTGCTTAAGGAGAAGATGTAGGCATTTTGTCTGAGCCGGGTTGGCAAGATGGAAATGCCCCAAAAGCAGAAGCTCTAAAGCAATGAGTTAAGGGCTCCAAATAAACAGCATTTCAGGTGCCTTTGTATGAGATGTTCAAGGTACACTATAAGAACAGTGTGGAAAGTGAGTTCTTTCTCAGCTTCCTAAAGAGCTGGAAGCAAGATGGATTATTGCTCATCTCCCCTTGAGGGTTGGAGGCAATGTTTTGTGCCTTGCAGTTTTAGGGCAATGTAGGACTCTGCTGAGCAAACTTGGCTTTTCTTCCATAGCTGCTTTCTGAACACTCTCTCCACCCATGCACAAGGGCGGCATGAGAGGTTGCCGGTATGCTGTAAGAGCACTGTGGAAAGCGAGTTTTTTCTTAACTTCAAGAGTGGTTAGTTAAAATCTTATTGTCTCTCTCCTCCTAAGCAGGTGGAAGGACAATCATTCGTGCCTCAGCCGAATGATTCGGGCGGGACTTGTGTGACCCACTTGCCTTAAATGCTGGAACCAACTGTTGGACACTTCAGAAGCATCATCTGGAAATGGTGGAACCACCCACCGCAGATGTGAGAATCAGGTCCAAAACGTGCCAGAAGCACCTGCAGGACACACCAGAACCATCTGACTCAAATGCCAAAATCACCTGCCTGATACACAAGAACCACTTGATGGACACTCCAGAATCACA